ACGAATTACTGTGCATCACTCCAACAGCCCATAGTGATTACTGATAGTCATTGTTAGGAGGTCTTACAAGATTTTAAGTTAGAAAAGCCACTGTAGATACCTGTGTGGATGTATTTCCATGTGCACATAGAGATGAGCGCTTTCCTACACTGGAAGGTGCTAGTTAGCTTTCTGGATTTGGCATCTGGGTTCTAGCATCTATTAGCATGCACTGTGAAAATGCTGATTGCATCTTTCATCAGCTTCTAAAAGTGTGTCAATTCCAGTAATGCCCATTCCTAAGGCATTGTAAGGAAAGAACATATACTGGCTGTAATACCCACAACTGCTTGTTTCTGTAAAATATCCTGTTCAGGATGGGTACATGCATTTAAGAGTGAAGAGTTATGGAAACCTCACATTCTATCATTATTTGGTTTCTGAAAATAAGACAAGGCAATCAATCAAGGCCAAACTGTGATATAATTGATCAAGTAGCAATATGAAATCTTTGTGATGTCAGTAAGTTGTACTTGTAATCAAGTATGACATCTTGTACTGGATATATTGTAACACTGGACTTGGAAGATTGTAATATTACAGCTCATAGTCCCAGTGAGTCTAAGACCACAAATTTTCAAAATGTTCCACAAAAAAAATTAATAGTCTTCATCTCATCTCATGTAATATATCCAGTGTGAAACTTTGATTCTATAGGCCAAAGACGAAGTAAGACAAAGAACTAGTCACTCCCCAAAACATTTCATATGAATGAAAAACAGACAAAAATATAGAGATACAAAGGTGGCATTGTTGTACATACAAAAATCTTAACATTTACAGAGATATTAACAATAAATCCTATTGCAACAGGCTCTGTATTTTATACAATCTCATAACCATGTTAGTATACATGATATGACTCTAAAATTCCTTAATGAATCTTCAAGAAATTTTGCAAGCTTTCAGTAAACATAAAGTCTTTTGTAGACTTAAATCAAAATTTTTAATTACTTTTTACTAAAACTTTGTCCATAATTATATGGTGTCAGAGCACTGACTGCTCTAAGTGCAAAGTGATTTTCATGTAAAGATTAAAAACACTCTTGTTCATCTGAAGATTTTCAAATTTCATATGTGTGATCCCTAAAGCTTCCTAAATAAATATAAAAGGTTGTTTTTGGTTGTTTTTTTCAGAGAAACTTTATAGTTTATCTATTATTTTCTAAACTATAACTCTGTACAGGGTCGGTCGATTTGATGGACCTCATAACCACCACAAAAAATTAGGAAATAATTCTAAATTACCTTTTTTCCTTTCTGGGATGACTGCAAATTGTAACTGGAAACCACAATTATTTATATTACATAGCTTAAAGCTTGTAACAGTATACATCTGTTTCTACTCAAGTTTTATTGCCCTTTGAACTATGTATAACTAATAATCCCACTATAAATGTTATAAATCACTTGGAGAACATGTAGCTCATGTTACCCTCTCAAATTACGTAATGCACAGACTACTTGTGAGCTGCACGCGAGCATACCTCATGAAAAATTTCTATTATTATTTTCTTTATTTTACTTAATCTAACCTAATCAGTTTCTAATTTTTACATTTTAGTTACTTTTATAATAACAAGTAAAAAATACACATGAAAAACAAGAAGTATAGTACTTACATGGGTTTTTTTTTTGCTGTCGACTGTTGATGAAACTTAAGCCTTCCTTTTTTATACTATTGGTACTATCACACTAAATTATTATTTTATTTAATTTAATTCTATAATAAAGATACAAAAGAACAATAGGTAAAAGCAGACAATGCCCTACAACTATCATAATTTTTCTGACTTTATAACTATGAGATAAGAGCCATTAAAAATTCAGCTAATCTCCTCAATGTGTTTCCCATGAGAATAAAGTTTGAACTGGAAGGGAACTAGTCAACTTTCTGTATAAAAACAACATAATGTAGTAGGTCATATGATAGATTAAAACTTTTGCTTTTTATTGTTTAGAAATAATATAGTATTAAAAATCAGGGAGAACTATTGGTAATTTGTGAAAGAGAAGATATGGCAGATGGGCATGGCAAGAGGGGTTTGATTTTCTATTTTTATGGCTCAGTAACCAATTAAAATAGAAGGATAAAAACAATTATGCTTTGCCTCAGTATTAACTATATTATAATAAGTAATTTTTAAATTCCGTATTTCTCGGAGGAATGGTAAATAAATTAGAGAAGAGGGAACACCTAGCGAGCAAATGTCACAATTTTTATACTAGGGGAAATTGAGGATGTTTTTAAATACTTCCTTATAAAATTGAGAACTCAAAATTTATGTAATATTAAAAGTTGATTTATTAGCTACGTTTTGGTGTCAAATTTATTTGTATATATTGATAATAAAGTAGTTTAATCTAAGGTGAATTACTTAGAAATGCTTGTATTTTCATTCAGGAAAGATCACTGGAAAACAAGCTATTGGGAAAGAGGCTACCCTCCAAATTATTTTTCATTAATTATAATACTCTATTATGTATGAGATAACCAACTTTTAGACCGAATACAAAGTGAATGAGATTTGCTCTCTGGGCCATGAGGGTAAAATTCTGTAAGAACCAGAATCAATGTGCGAGACTTGTCATACCTGTTACTCTCAGCAGAAATTAATGTTACCCAATCTCAGTATGACCTAATACTGGCATTCTCATACAATGTAAAAAGGATAATACTTGGTGTATTGATTAGTTGTAAAGTATAAATACACACTTTCATAGTTAAAATAACATTACTAAATCTTTGTCTTGAGTTCATACATTTCTCTTTTCTGGAGACTGGTTAAACTTAATCTACCTCCAGAGAGATCATTTACTGTGATTAGTAAACACATCACAGCAATGACCCACAAAAAATGTACTGGACACTGGTATGTTATAAAGGACTGACAACATATGTTTGGCACATCTGTCAAGATGATGTGAAAGTCAGCAGGAGATGTCATGCCTCATTTTGAGATGAAAACCATTAACACTCTGATAATATTTCAGGTATGTATTTGGACTTAACAGCAGGTAACAACAGACATTCCAAAACTCTTTGCTGGTAAGTCTTAAAGCAGACAATATAAAGATGGAAGATGGTAAACAATTGAGAGACTGAACATCAGTACAGACTTAATGTAAAACACTAAAATTATCATCTTTGCGGTATTTTGAATAAAATTTAGTGCAAGTTTATGGCAATTAAAAGTTTTTAAAAGTTTAACTTGCACATGGAATTTCTTGAAATGAGTATTAGATTTATGTAGTTTGGTTTATTACATTGTTAAAATTTTCTATTGAATCTATTACTAATCCATTCTCTCTTAGTAAAAATGTTATGTAATGGTTAGTTTGTTTTTGAAATTTTTGCACAACCTGCACATGGGCTATCTGCACATAGCCATTGCTAGTTTTGAACTAAGAAACTAGAGGGAAAACAGCTAGTTCACATAATCTACCACCAACTCTTGGGCACTATTCTTGTCCGACTAAACAGTGGAATTTGCTCATTAATCTCATACCACATTCACGGCCCCAAAATGCAATGAATGTAAACCTGGCTAGTTCAAACACTTATTATGGCATTATGTTTACTTTTTTAGTGATGAATTCCATTATTTGATTATCTTCAGATATAATACTACAAAGGACCAAATATTCAAGTAAAATCCTAATATGCATGCACATTAAATTATCTCCTATCTAGAGTGATAAAACATGTTAAAATTACTTTTTATAATCATCTTATTAGCATATGCAATCATCTTTTGTATACAACAGCACCCTCTTCAATAAAATGTTTCTGTTGACCCCATTCCTTTAAATTGATATTAAAAAATTCCAATTTCTATGTATCTCAAGGAGATATTACTTTAATATACTAACTCTGATACTGCCAGCTGGTCCTCCTTTATGTGTTTCATGTTAAACTTGTGTGAGTGTGACAGGTTTGGAAAGGAGACCAAATTAAAAAATCTGGAAAATAAGTATATAATAACTGAAGTTGAAAGTTGATTATTAGTATGTTTGATTTCTCTTAAAGTTAAGCTTGAGTGGACCAAGTAATTCTAATTATTACCTTATCACTGAAGTATAGCTTTACTTTTAATGTTAATAGCAGTAATCCAGAGATGGTTGGAATAAACTAGAGGGTATTGTAACTGTTAGGATTAATTAAGTGAAAATTAATTAGATTGACCAAGTTTTATTAAGAGTAATATTTGACTGCAAGAAGAATCTTATCAGAAAGGATGGAACATGGTTTAACTCCCTTCAATGGCTGATATATCTTAGTTATAAGACTATTTGTCATTAATTTAATGGCTGACCATATAAGTTCATGTGCTGTTTTACTGTAGTCAAGCAATTAACAGCATATTTAGTAGGACAATAATGTATGGTATGCAAATACCACATACGTTACTTATTATATACTCACAGTAAATTTCATATTTCTAAAGTTTTAAAGTTTTTTCCCTAAAGTTGTTATTCACACATTAAAGTAGCCATGTATAGTTCTGTGTTAAACAAAAATATCTCCAGAAAAATTATGCATTAAACAGTACAAAATAAAATAAACTATGAAATTTAACTGTGTTATGACTTCTTTCTGAAAATTACTTTTAAATTTTAAGATCCTGTAGAAAATTTACCAGTCCATGAAAACAAGTGATATTGGTGAATGTAAACAAAATTAAAACCTTGATTATATCGTGTTTCACGACAACATATGACAATTATATCCATCAATAGATATGTGGTTATTAGAAGCCTTCTAAACCAGTGGTTCCCAAACACCAATCTGTGGCTTAAGTTTTATCAGTCCATTAAAATTAGTGACATTTTTTAAAAATTGCAAAATTGGTGGCCCAAATCAAAATCAGGTTCAGTTTTCCTAACAGATTAAAATACAAATTATTATTTTTCATTTGTATGCAAATTATTTGCAAAAATCCATGCTTTAATTTTCTCACCTGGTAGTATGTTTTATTCTGTACAATATAGCTTCACCCATCTTGATGAAAGCCCAACGGTCCTGAAAAAGATTTTGTTAAAATTACAACAATACATTAACTTTAGATATGTACAGCTCCCTTAATAAAAGAATACACTAGTAAATGGTTATAAGTTAAGGATTTCTCTTGTAAAAAAAAAAAGCATGCAATGAATTAGAGGCAAGAGCAGAGCAGGTTATGCTTGGAGGTTGTGATCTCCCTCAATTACTTTACAATGAAATGACCAACAGTGACATGGGTCTTGCATGTGCTCTGGGAATGCTTCTAATAATGGGTAGCTTTCTCGACTAGTCTCAGCAGATTTTATGGGCAGTGTATTATTTATTTTCCAGCAACAGTAGTAAGGTTTTTTATACCTTATCTTTCTTTAAGGTTATTTTCATTAACAGTATGTTATTTTTTTTAATATTATAAACATTATTTCATATTGGTAGCTTAGTTCATGGATTTAGGACTAACCTAAATCTACTAATGTGGTTGAGACAGGTATAATTAACATTTACCTTGGTGTGGTAGTTCTTACTTTGACATTGGCCTAAATAAGATATAGCTTTACCATACTGTACACACACAGTGTTGGTTAAAATATTTAATATATCTAATTTTACTTTTTATAGTTTAATTTCATGCTTATTATGTTATTATAATGTATATTCTGTATTGTTAGCTTAGTATGTAGATTTAGGACTAACCTATGCCCTCCGAGTTTGCTGAAACTTGTGAAATATTGGGTTTACAGGCCAAAAGATTGTTAATAGAGAAGGTTACTGAACTGGTGAAACAATGCATTTTTAATCATTATAAGTAATATGGTTTGAACATTATATTTAAGTAGCTATGCCCATTACTAGGTATATATTTTCATTTCTGATATATGTATGCAGCTGGCTTTTATATGAAGTTAATATTAAATTTAACTGATTTCAAAAGTGCATGTGTGTGTGTGTGTGTGTGGTGGAATTAGGATGGTTGGAATTGGATGACACTATTGATGTTAAATTGAATGGAAGACAAATCATCCATTAATGAAAAATTAAGGTGGACATGTTTCTACAGATAAATTACACTGTGTATAACACAATTTACATTGTCTGAAAACATAAAAAATTTGACTGGAGAAACAAACAACTAGAATATGCATGAATACCTTTGTAACTCTTTCTCATCACTACCCTAATAAACTTCTAGAATTATGCGAGATAAAAAGCAAAACACATACCAATTACTATCTCAAAATACTGTTTCTTAAAACTGCAGTCTGAAAAATTTGTTAACATTTTCTGGTAAGAACTTATTTAAACATTTTTAATACTGGCTGAGAAACACCAAGTTGACAAGATACACTCACAGAAACATCAAAACACAGTCAGAGCTATTCTCAAAGTAAAATGATTGTTTACAGGCTTAAAAGGAAAAAAAGATCTCAATAGGATATTTATATACAAGAAATTGACTGCTATAGTGGCTGGTAAAAAAAAACAAAAATATAATTGAAAAGTTTTTTTGGTGTACAAAGCTTGAAGATAGCTTTTGTATGCGGAAACATCTGTTAGCTGAGTTCTTGCACTGATCTTAAAATATAACGTCGATAAATGGAAACATTGGCACATAGCGTTGATAACTGGACCAATTGTTGGTTGAGATGTTGCAAAGGAAATATCTGCTGAAGCTTTTCGCCAGACGCTAATCAAAGCAAACTGTCTGGAAAATGATCTATAGGAAAT